CTGTTACTAATGTTTAAAATGAAAAATCTAAAGATCCTCTTTTAATGTGTCAAAATCACAAAGATTTGTTTTTGAATGACAACCAATAAGGGCAGGAAATAAGTACAATAGTGACATTCTTCCATTTTGTGTAATTTAAACTGACACAGCTCTTCTGGAAACTAATTTAGCACTATACTGTCAAAAGTCTTAAAATGTTCTTTCTCCTTGATGCAATAATTCTGTACATAGGACTTTGGATAAATAATAAATGTGAACCAGCACAAAATCCTTATTTAAAAATGAATATGGTGAAAAGGTAAAACACATCACCTGCTTGGCTCAGTATTGCTAAATAAAAACAATTAAAGGAAGGAGAAGTGGACTGGGAAAGGCACAGTCACCTTCACCTGCCACCTGCTACACGGAACCCATTAATTAGCCCTGTCCCCTGAACACCAAGCTCAACCAAGATGTACTGCCAAGATTATAGTATAATCCTATACAAAAAGGAAAAATCACATTGATATAATCAAGAAAATTTTTAAATGATTTGAAACAAAATGGGTTTTCCAAAGATGTGAAAGAAAGTAATCTCTCCCCGGTTAACAATGAAATGCAATTTCCCAAACAATTTACTTCAATAAATTCAAATACCTCTGTAAATAATCTTAATAGGCAATAAGAAATTATGCCATTACAACATAGAAGTCATTAAACCTAGGTAAAATTTTGTTAAAAGTCCCATGTAAAGTTAATACTAAATTTTCTGAGCAGTTGATGTAATATATTAAACAAAAAGCTTAAAAAAACATGTGTCAAACTCCCTGTGCCACTTTAGGAAAAAATTTAATATATAAGGTTTTTTTTTTTTTTGTTCAGGAAAGCAGTTTAAAAGCTCTGTTAAACGGAAATGAAGTCTCTTTGTAAAAAATATCCAACGTATCAAAATGCAGAGTTACAGACAATAAGTAAGATTTAGGTCTGTTCCCATATACATAGAAGCAATTTGAGTTCAAAGCCGTAAGAAAGCCTGAATGATGAATTAATAGTTTTACATTAGATTTTAGTCATGGCTGCCAATTTTTTTTATCCATACATTTAAACATTTGGTATTAATGCCTCATTTTATTGTATTATCAATAAATCAGTAATCAGTAATTGAAAGCCTCTTACTTACTCTCTTATCCAGAAGAAATTGATTTCTCTGACACTTACCTAAACTTGTAGGCTTGATGAGAACATCAAGGACATCATAAAAGGGCAAATTTTTTAACTGCACATCAGGATGGACCGGAGGAATTGGGGGAGATGGTTGCTGCATCTCAAATGTGGGCTTAGTATCTTGAAGCAGCACAGAACCAACAGGAGAGGACGGTGAGTGAGGAGTAACTGAAGTGGAAGGCAACGAGTGGATTCCAGCCACGGCCAAGTCAGGTTCTACAGGTGATGAGCTACTATCCAAATTGAAAACTGATGATTTGATTGTGGATAAATCAGAAAGTCCTTCAAGAGTCCGTGGATACCGGCGTCTATACAATTCTCGGATTTTAATCTGAACCGCAGGGCTGCAGCCACTCTTCAACAAATGCAACGCCCTCATCAGGAGGTCATGCTTGCGCCCACTTTTATTCCGTCCAGCAAAGCCTAGTAACACTTGTAATTCAGAAACCCTAAAACTAGAAACCATATTCTAAAAGAAAAGAAAAACAAAAGGAGATAAGCCAATAGTCACCCTCAAGCATATAAAAACCATATCTAAAATATACTGTAAAATCTCATTTTTCCAGTCTTCTATCAACTGGCAGGTACTAGTAAACAACACTTTCACACAACACTGAGAATCGTTCCTGTTTTATACAGCCACCACCACCTCCAAAATTACATTCATATTATGGTTTGTTGTACTCTTAATTTTGGTCATCTATATGGTCTACTGGTTTGTATTAGCCACCTCATTACCTGGTTATGCTCAAGTATAAACCTGTACCTGCTCTATAACCATGAAATTTATAACCAATGAAAACGTTCCTTTCGAATCTAAGCCCCACCAATAATACACAATGTAATGTTTTCTACAGTATTATTAACCAAACAAAAAATTGATTTGTGCTAAACTAGATGCACAACTTCTGATGCTAAGTAGTAAATCTACAAAATAAAGACAGAACTGTGATCCAAAATCCAAAGAGCTTTTCACCCAAACTCAAATATTAAGGAACAACACATAAGAAAATAAGGGCAGTATTTTTTTATATTAAAGCTAAAAATCACCTTTCATTAACAGCAAAACTCCTAAAACAACTGAAATTTCCAGTTGACTATCCAATGAAAAAAAGATCTTTGAAGAGCAAGGAAATGAGTGGTCATAAATCTTGAAGGGCAAGAACTTACTCTTGGGTGTAAAATAGTTATAAGCAGTTCCTGCCTCAAATCTCACCACCTATTTATTCAACAAAACCTAGTAAACACTTTAAAACGCTTGTTGCCGCACAAATCACCTGCTTAGTGACTTTCAGACAATTCTGAACTCGGAGGTAAACCCACTTGGGTCAGATTTATAGGTACTCATGTGCCTCATCTAGCCAGAAAGAAGAGTAAGACCAGAAGCTGACTAAAAGCCCTTTCAGAAACTGACCGGAGAATAACTTTCCCACCCCCTCCTCCAGTGCCACACACTCCACCTCCACAGCTACCTGGGATTCCTTTTCAACCTAGTAGGTATGCAGGGGCAACACCTACAGAAGGCACTGATTAACAATAATTCTGTTTCACACTTTTAAGTCTCATTGATAGCCCAGAAGCAATTATTTAAAACTTTGCTTGGCCTCTAAATATGTTGGGAGTAATAATACTAGCTAGTTTTCTAAAATATAAACAAATTTAAATATATCAAAGTAATCTGCATGTACAAGCTATATCACAATTCTACTTCATACTCTGTATATTTCCATATTTCTTACTGCACAAGTCAGAAAATATTACATTGTCATCCCATAAACCATTTTTATACACACTCCATCAGTGCTGTCCAACAGAAACAAGAATCACATGGTTCTAAATCTTCTAGTATCCACATAAAATACAGCTTGAGTTAATTTCGGTAATATACTTTATTTAACCCAATGTACTGAAAGCATTATTTCAACATGTAATTAATGTCTGTGATTTAAAAATAATCAACTTTTTTAAACCATATTTTTTCATAGTAAGTCTTCAATATCCAGTTGTATAGTTCACACATATAGCAGATCTCAATTTGGATAAGCCATATTTCAAGTGCTTAAGAACCACATGCAGCTAGTAGCTACCACACTAGACAGTGCAGCTTTAAATCACACTCAGAAAACAATATACATCACAATGCCACAGTCATTATACTTCATCTCACTTCATTTCCTCCATTTTTTTAAAGTGAAGGTTCATTTATCTTACCCCTTTGCTACAGACAACAAGGACGGAAACCAAGAATATTCTTGGCCTATCTCGTGACACACCAGTTACAGTATACTCGTTTCATGCATAAAAAAGACTTATGATTTTCTGAAAATGTCTTCTTTGTAACTGCCTTCCCAAGCAAGAAATACAATGCATCTTTCCTGAAGTCTCCAGTCCTAGTAAATATTTTAACTGGAGTTGGGTTATATTACAGTAGAATAAGCAACACTGACTCACAGAGAACAATAACACCAACAAAGGCAGTCATACAAATACAAGTTATCTGTGAGTCTTTCTAAGGAAATCAAACTAACTCAGAATTGATCACTTTGCTTCCCTCCTTCCACTTATTTTCAGATATTTTTAGTTTTAAGAAAATTTGTTTTACAGAAATGACAAAATAGAACACAAAGTTACCCAAAGCTTGGCTCTCAAAAAGGCATTTTGGGGAGGTCTCCTATCACTTATTTCCAATGTCAGCTTTATTTGGCAAAGAATACTAATGCAATTGACTCTAGTAGCTATTGTAAATACAAAAAAAAAAAGATAAGGGTTTAGAACTATGAATATGGCATCAGGTATTCTGAAGCAAAAAAAGAAACCCCCTAGGTTTGGGGACTGGCAAAGTTAAAAAGAGCAGACAGGACAATCTTTACATTGCAAAATGCTGCAAAGATAAAGTACTACCAGGCACTAAAATACTGCCCAAAGATGATGGTTTTGGGCATCCATGGTGTCCTGTGGAAACTTCACAGCTGCAATTAGCAGATGTAGCATCAAGACTCAGGACCTTGGGGAAGTCATTTCATCCCTCTAGTCATCAATTTCTGTTTAAAAACAAACAAACAACAAAAACCCTCTTTATTTTAGCGTTTGCTACTAAGATTTCTCTAAGGAGCTTTCCAAGTCAAACTCTACAAAGTATGTTTTTCTTGGCAAACCTAGCTGGTTTCTATTTCTTCTTCACCCAGATAGGGTGAGCGTACTATGTAATGCTACCAAGAATAGATTTCAGCTATTGTTCTCTACCATCTGTTATCTACACCTTAGTATAAATTTTAATACAAATTTTTTCAAGTGGATTTTAAACAGTCCATCCAGATGCCTCCCAAAGTCCACCCTCTAATACTCCCATTACAACAGCTATATGCTCTACACAGAGGAATGCCCATAAGGAAATTAAACTACAGAGAAACACGCTGGCATGACTGATTGAAAAAAAATACATACATACACAGTCTGGATTTCTAAGGAAAAGCTAATAAAGACTAGAACTTTAAGTCAAATTTAAGTAACACAAAATTATAAAAAATTTTAAAGCCAGATAGAATATAACTGGAACATTACATATAGGAGTGAAGGCAAGTTGAAGGTGCTACGTTTAGAAAATACTTTATCAAGCAAGTAAATATGATAGTTACACATGTAATCACCAATGAATAAAAAGTATTTGTCTGACACTGCTCTTCAACTGTAAAACATGAGGTGGAAATTACCAAGAATAGCCCAGAATTTGGAAAACTCTAATAGGCTGTATTGTAGGTCCTTCATCTGCTATGATGTATAATATGAGGTAGAGAGGGGAGCTGAGGGAAACTGATAAATCACATTATTAATATTGTCTAATCCAAACTACAATATTAAAACAATCTACATCTTCATTTATAAGTAGGACTGGACAAAGAAAACCACCAGACATATAACCAATATATCAAAGGAGTGACCAAGCTGATGCTTATTAAAATGATACTCATAACTACTACCCATTTCAGAGGACACAGGAGGCCCTAGTTCCTGGCCCCGTATTTCTGTGAAATGGTGTTCTCTATAACTAAATCCCCTTTTACTTGAGTGACCTTACACTGATCTCTTCCTTACGACACATTGATTAAAATAATTCCTCAGCTAAAAAAAAACAAAATCGAAAATCAACTATTAAAATAAACTATAAAGAGAGTACATTTCAAAATCTCTAAAAGAAGCAAAAGCTTGGGAGAACATACCCCTAATTGCTTCTATTATTATACAAGAGTTTAAATAAATTAGTTCAAGAAGCAATAAAGTAAAAACAGAATAAACACATAGCCTCGAAAAGAGTGAAAAATTAAAGGGTAAAAGCAAGAAAACGTGAGCTAGAAGGCAAAATGCAGAAAAGTCTGTAAAATCAGGTCTAAAAAGGGAAAGAAAAATACTGTCTTAAGAATGAGAAAAAGAACCATAAATATAAAATCATTTGAAGAGAACAGTATATATAATTATATTCTAATAACTTAAAGGTATACACAAAAATTACTTCTTAGAAATATATATATTAATCTGATACAAGAGGTATATCATCTCTGTCCCTCTCCACTTCCAAAGCACCTACCCAGACAAGACAGCTTAATGAATTAATTTGACTAAACCTTTAAGGAAAAGATAGAAATCTGGTCAAGCTGTTCAAGAGAATAAGTCAGGAAGTTAAACACTTGTTAGAAGACAAACATGGAAAAATCAGCTGAAAGCAAAACCAATTTTTTTAAGTAGGTAAATTATTGTCTCCCAAATTGTAGTGGGGAATCCACTCATTCAAAATTTTAGTAAAAAGCCTGATGAACCAGACAGCCTTAGTATACCACCTATTCTTTCTCACTTCCCAGCAAGGACAGTAAGGAATAAGGAGTCTTTCTGTAACACACCATTATGTTTCCTGTGAGTATGGATACAAAAGGCCTAAATGAACCCAAATAAAGTTTAATCTAGGAAAATAAGAGTAGTTTAATAGAAACATAGCAAATTACTTGTGTAAAATAATCTCTACCTATCCTTAGAATCACATAGTGAAATATTTCTGGATAAAATTACAATTGATGGTATTTCCTTTAAAATTATTGGGGAGACCCCAAATAGCCAAAGCAATTTTGAGAAAGAAAAACAAAGCAGTAGGCACCCTGCTCCCTGATATCAAACTATATTACAAAGCTATAATAATCAGAATAGTAAGGTACTGGCAAAAAAACACACAAACAGATCAGTGGAACAGAAGAGAGTGCTCAGAAATAAACCTACACACATATGGTCAATTAATTTACAACAAACGACCAAAAGTATACAATGGGGAAAGAGCTGTCTCTTCAATAAATGGTGCTGCAAAAACTGAACAGTCACATGCAAAAGAATGAAACTGGACTGTCTTACACGATACACAAAATAAATTCAAATGGATTAAAGACTTAAATGTAAATAAAACTCGTGGAAGAAAACATAGATGGGTAA